CAAAAGGACATAGTAAAATCAGCAAAAGGAAAAGACATTGGCCTGGGATGTAGCTCAGTGGCACCGTGCCTGCCTGGCAAGAGCAAGGTCCTGAGTTTGATCCCCTGTACCCCCCCAAAAGGAAAATGTGCATGCTGAAGTCCAGGAGAAACCAGGCAGAAGCCCCCAGATATCCCTTCCTAGAAGAGTCATATAGGGAGCGCTGAATTCTCCCAGCAAGGAGGAGTAACAGCACTTGTGACGTATGCACACAGGGAGTGCCCCACACCTGGTGCCCAGGGTTTCTACTGTGGGGTAGATATGGGCTTGCATCACTGGCATGACTGCCCTTAACTGCTGTCTCCAGCCTCTCAGAGGTCAAACTGATACCAGGTAGCCCAGCACGTCAGCACACAGGAATAAGCCTTTACTGTAAATCACGTCATTAGCGTACATCATCTAGTCAAACTGATACAGCCTGGCCCAGGGCTTCAGCTCACAGAAATAGGCCTTAACCATAAGCCAAATTATTAGCAGAAACTACGTAGTCAAACTGATACAGTGTGGGGCAAGAGCTGGCCCGGCCGGGCCAGTCCCCCTGGACTTAGGCCTCTGTGGGGAAGGGGCAGGTTTGAGCGACGGCGGCCAGCAGAGTTGACCGTTGCCTGTGAAAATGCCCTCTGTGTCTGCTCTGACACTGTGCGGGCCCTCAGGGGCCACTCCCATGGGTCAGCTTCCATGTGTGTTCTCCAGTGCCTTCTAGAAAGTTCTCCTCGATCTTGTAGCCTCACTCTGCACATATAAACTAGGTTTTTCTTTCACTCAGAAGATGGAAACAGTCAAAAAAGAACATGTTTAACTTCTCTACACCAAAACACTGAGCTTCCCCAAAGCCCTGCCTGTTTTTTCCCCCTTTTCTCTGGTTACCACAGAAAAGGCTAATCTTCTACCTGCTGGGGATCACACCCCTCCAATTTATTCAAGGACCCCTGAGCTGGGGATGTAGTGAGAGAGCATATGCCTAGTATATGAGAGACCTGGGTTTGACCCTCAGCACTGGAAAAAAAGTTATAAAAAATATTACTTTTCTCTTGTATCATTAAATTTATCCTCTCCCCCTTTTTGTGCTTCATTGGAACTTTGTTTTGTTTTTTGAGACAGGGTCATGTTTTTTTTTTTTTTTTGAGAAAAGTTCTTACCATGTAGCCCAAGCTGGCCTTGAATTCACCAATTCTTCTACCTCAGCCTCCCAAGTGCTGGGATGAGCCAACTGGCCTCACAGAACTTTTACAAACCTTGTCTTTCATATCTGTATTTGTATCTACATTTTTTTCTTTCTCTTTCTTTCTGTTTTTTTTGAGGCAACATCTCCCTTTGTAGTTCAACCTGGCCCTGAACTCACTATGTAGCCTAGGCTGGCCTCAAATTCTTGGCAATTCTCCTAACTCAGCCTATTGAGTGCTGGGATTACAGGTATACACCATCATGCTCAGCTTCTTGTGGATTCCTTTTACTTATTTGCCCCTTAAATCTTATTTTTCTCCAGCAACCTCTTCATTCCTTTTGCATTTTATACTCTCAACCCTGACAATCTCATCAATCCTAGTCTATTTATAACCACAGCATGGGTCTCTGGTCTCTAAGGTTGAATAAAAAGCTCAATCCACCTAACTCCCACTCCCGCCCCTTGTACCAGGGATTGAACTTGGGCCCTTGCACTTGCGAGGCAGGTGGAGGAACCACTGAGCCAAATCTCTGGCTCCCACTTTTTAAAAATAAATGTGTACATTCGCTGACTTTCATAGTGGAAAAAGAAATTTCAGGACACATAAGCAAAAGAGACACAAATAGACCAAAAGTATTTATCATGTGGCAAATACAGAAAGTAGCTTTTACTGTAAAGCAAAAGCAAACAGCACCCAGGAGGCCTGAAAAGGGTTGCCCGAAAGGGACATCCAGTTTAGGGCTTTTATACTATAAAAAATGACTACACTGCTAAAATTATCCATATAAACACAGCGAAGAAGGGCAAAGATACCTTGTTCCTGGGGAAGAAAACCCTCCCACTCTGAGGTCTTTGGTTGTGCCTGGCCCTGGTCATCCACCTATCTGTGTGAGAGCTTCACTGCATCTTTCTGACTCCCTCTTTGGCTTGGCCTTTTCCTGGCTGCCTGTGACTCCCTCTGTCAGGAACCTGCTCAAAGCCTCCACGCATATGCAAACTGCCAGGCTCCAAACCTTAGTTCCTTAATATGGCTTGGGTAACTTCAGCTGTGTGCTGGAAGTTGTCTTATGAAGTACAGTTGTGAGTTGTGATACCCTTGCCTCCTTTCTACCTTTTATTTCTTCTATCCTACCTCATAATGACTAGACATTTTTCCCAAGTGTCACAGCTCCGTGTCCAACCAGCCAATGGTCACCCTTACTTGGGAGTCAACCTGTCCCAAAATGTATTTGCTTTTCTTCAAACTGACTCTCCTCTATTATTTCCTGCGTTGTGAACGAAGCCCACATCTGCTTAATCACACTTTTTTTTTTTTAATTTCTCCCTCTTTCATCTCCCACATCTCTTTGGCCTCAACATCTCTCTTCTGCTTTGTAATAGTTCTTAACCACATTCCCCTTCTCTCTGTTCCCTCTGCCAGTTCCCTAGCCTTTGTCACGCTGGACTCAATAATCACCAATCTCATACCTGGACCCTGCCTCCAGAATTGTCCTCAGTTCATCCCCACACACTGTGATCAGGGGTTTTTCTTAAAAAGCAAATCAAGCACAGTATGTCATTCTTTTTTAACTTCTTTAATAGTTTGCACAGTCTTTAAGAAAAAGGTAAAACTTTTTAAAAAGGCATCGTGCTGCCCTCACGATTTGATGTGCCCATCTCTCCAGTGTCCCATGGGCAACCGTGAACACCATCTGCACCTCCTTCCTCTCCAACAACACATTTATCTTTTGGTGGGGCTTCCTGGCCATTGAAGATATATGCTGGTCTTTCTGCTTAGAACTTCTTTCCTCACCTTCCTCCTTTTGCCTGACAAATTCCCATTCACTCTTCAAGATATAAATGAAGCGTCACCTCCTCTGGAAAGCTATCCCTGGTTGCTCCCTTGCACTAGGGTGAAGCCCTAATGTGTTTCCTTAATGCCTTGCTCTTACCTCCTCCCTGTTTTAGTCTAGGAAGTATGTATTTTTAAAATCTTTAACCCATTTTGAGTTTTTTTTTTTTTTTGGGGTGTATGTGGTAAAAGGTAAAGGTCTAACTTCATTCTTCTGCATGTGGGTCTCCAATTTTCCATCCACTGTTGAGACTGTCCCTCCCCCATGTGTGGTCTATGTATCCCTGTAGAAGCTCATTTGCCCACGTATGTGTGACAGTGTATTTCTGGGCTCTATATTTTGTTTTTGGACTGTATGTCTGTCTTTATGCCAATTAATTCGCGACCAATTATGGATCTAGTACCGCTCTAGCCTGCCTTCCCTGTAGATAATATTTATTAAGACACCAGTTGTAGAATGAACCCCATTTCCTGATAGCATCTAAGCTACAGCAAAAGCCCTGCTTTCTTACACCCTAGTTCAAATCACCCACTGAAAGCCCAAATCCTGTAACAGGCCCTTTCCAGAGCATCTAAGAGGCGCTTAAATTCTCCATACCTTACAGCTGAATAATAAAACTAACTCGTTCAACTACATTCGTAGTGCTCTTCGGCTGGAGATCAGTGACATATGTGAGATTCGTATACACAAAATACATAGAACAGTAAGCAGCAAGAAAAGAATTTATATTCCAATAGAAAACGGGGGTGGGGGGAGAATCATGAGAAAAACACGAATGGCTTCTTAAGCACTGAAAGAATGCTTCACAATATGGAGACCAAACTAACTCCAGTTTTGAAAAAGTGACTCCATTTTGTGATCAGACCACCACCCAGTTACAGGGAAAAACCGCAAAGTGCCCTTTTGACCCAGTTCTCAACAAAACAAAACAAACAAGCAAAACAAACAAACAAACAAACAAACAAAAAAACCCACAGGACTGTTTCCCGTAAGTGGTCTCCAGGTATTCTTTTCTTTTAATCTTGCAAAAACTTGTGGACAGGAAGAGACATCCGGCCCTGGACAACAGAATAGAAACACACCTGCATTTACACAATGCTAACCAATCAGGCACTGACCCGTCAGGAAAGCCCCTAGTTCTGCTCCTTCACTGATAAAAGGCCTGTCTGAAACCGGGTCCGCGCTCTCGGTACGGAACCGCTGCATGGTGAGGTCCTAGAGTCCAGGCTGGAGCCTGCAATAAACTCCTCGTGTGATTGCATCGGACTCGACTCCTTGGTGGTCTCTGGGGATATCGCGATCTGGGCACAACAACTTCAGATGCATGGAATGATTCGGTTGATTTCAAATTTACAATTGCTCCTACTGCCCCTAGAAGCCTGCTAATCCGTGTACTTAGGGAAACTTACTCAATCACGAAGTTTGGAGGGTCGAGGGGCATGCGTGATCAGGCCACTCGGAACCGGTTTAGCGCGCCTGCCCAGTAAATTCACATTCCGGGTCGGCGAGGTC